CAGGCGGATCCTCCAGGTCCCTCAATGAGCGGATTCGAATTAGGGCAGAAGCAGCATCCCGTTGAACATATACCGCTCTTCCCCTGTCCAAGCACGATGCCAGACATCAGCCGCAACAGAAGCACGGGCATCACGCAGTAAGCGTCAAATCGCCGGAGGGAGACCTTCATTAATATAAATCCTCACAAGCTCAGGACTGATTGTACGAAAGCCATCAATATCATCAGAAATAAGAGCACCTCTTTTACGTTTAAATTGGATGAAGTTGCTGTGTAAAGATCCATTGACAAGAGTCACCAACAATCCCCTAGGTCGACCACCGTGGACAGGAACAGGACCCACCCTCACTACAGTAACAATGTCAGTCAAAGCCAAATCAAGACGGAGCGTAACATCCAACTGACAAAGCAATGAACGAGGATCTTCATTAGGCAACTCAGGTACGCCCGAGATCAACAGATCGGCATCGCAAGCTCCAGATATTCAACACGATACGACACTGCTATAAGTTGCTCCTTTAAGATAGAGTTTTCACCGCGGAAGGCCCCATATTCCTCAGTGAGAGCTTCGTTTAGTGGTAAGTGCTTTGAGCGTATTACTGTGTTCGTTCAGCTTACTCATTATCTTATCATTTAACGCAGTAAGAAGAGCTGTATTTCGCTCCACCGCAGAAAGAATATGCTCGCGCGTAATCTCCGTCTCCAACCGCCCCACAGCCACTGGAGTGAGCGAAGATGCATCCAAGAAACCATCGCAATTTTCAGATTCAACACAGGCTGCAACATCAAATGATGACTGGACGACCGACAAACCAATAGAAGAAAGGCGCACGGTACGATTAACGCAGGATCCACTGTATAACGGAGCAGAAAGCCCACCGTTCAGTTTCACAACATAGGTCTTTTGAATGCATTTAGTGTGCGTAGTCTTACGACATTGCCCAAGATAGGAAGATTCAGTCGCCGACGCGAATCTGCTACATATTCCATACCTCACCGACATTGCACAGCAGCAGCAATATACACTCTACCGAACTAATGGTAAGAAGATTACCGGCAATGGTTACCGACCGTTCAAGAAAAGAAACACAGCATCCAAAACCGTATTTCGCACTAAAATGTCTTCGTGTAGATAGAGAAACAGTAGATAACAGATGAGACTGCAAAATCTACTGAACAGACAAATTACTAAGTCCGTGCAATCCACACGCATAAGCAAAGAAAAAACGCCAGCAAGTTACCCGCTCCACCCGCTCAAAACACGCACTAGAAGTATTCCACACTTAAACAGTTAAATAGAAAAATACTTTAAAAGTAGAAGCAAAAAATCAGATGCCCAAAAAATCAAAGACAAACAGAGCATGTTTATTCAGAGTCAGCCATCTTGATAGAGAGGGAGAGAGAGGGGAAGGGAGAGAGAGGAGGAAGGAAAGGGAAAGAAGGAGGGTAGAGAGATGAGAGAGAGGGGGAGGGGGAGAGAGAGGAGAGAAAGAGAGATTCCACGATGAAAAAGTGGAGCGCCTCTGCCAACATCCCGGTGGACGGGATCTCTGTTCCTGTGAAAGCCCGAATGAAATACCTGGGCCTACTGCTGGATGGCACGCGGAGCTTCGCCACCCACATAGAAAAGATGGCCTCCAAGGTGTCTCGCGTGGGCAATGCCCTCGCGGCTCTCATAAAGAATCTTGGAGACCCGCGATGGAAAGTCCGCCGCCTCTACACCAATGTGGTTGCATAGGTGGCCCTATATACGGCGCCGTTCTTCGCCGGCGCCTTGCGGAACTCTGGCCGCAGCAAACGGTCGCTTCGTGCAGCCATGTGGCCGGTAATCCTGCGGGCCACCAGATCATACCGGACGGTGTCGCATGAGGCGGCGGCGGTCCTAGCCAGACTTTCCCCTCTGTAGTTCCTTGCCAAAAAGTGTGAGTTTATGTACTTATACCTGGCGAAGCTCCGGAGAGAGAAGAAGAAGATAAAGTATCAAAGTGGCGGCGAGCCTCATGGCTCCTGCACACAGGACGCGGTAATGTTTGCCGCGCGGCGGAAGTCCGCGCAACAGCCAATCAATATGTTGTTCTTCCGTAAGAACTAGAAGGTTATTACGGAAAGCAGCATATTAATTGGCTGTCGCGCGAACTTTCGCCGCGCGGCAAGCATTGCCGCGTCCTGTGTATAGGAGCCATCAGGGCAAAGTTCCGAACTATGGTCCGGTGGGCTAAGTACTTATCGGCCTCCGGACTGTTCGGGGCTCGCAATGTGGAGGCCATCCGGACCTGCCTGTCCAAATGAGCAGGCAGACGGAAAAGAGTTTGACCTTCTGGCTGGCGCAGGTGCTCATCGGGCACGGTTGTTTCGGGGAATACCTATGCCGAATCGGACGGGAGATCACGGACCAACATACGTTGGCAGAATGTCCGGCGTGGGCAGAACAGCGCCGTGCCCTGGTCTCCAGGCTCGGGGAAGAACTCTCTCTCTCCACTGTCATCCAGAAGATGGTGGGGGGAGAAGAGGAGTTTGGGGCCGTGTCCTCCTTCTGTGAGGAGATTCTCCTCCGAGAGCAAATCCGTCGAGGGCAAAGGACGGGCGAGACGGTGCCCGCCCAGAGCCTGTCTCAGAGAGGAGGGGGGAGGCCGCAGGCGATCACGGGGACGATACTAACCCCACCTAGTATCGACACCTAGTATCGACCCCTCCATTCCGTCGGCCCTTCAAGGAGGTAACCGGGGGTCAACTCGAGTGGCGGCACCACCTGGGGAGCTAAGACTCCTCTGCCCTTCTCAAGGCGAGGGACCCGGATGGGGGGAAGGATTAACTCTCGCGGCGGCTTTTAAATACGGAGCCGCTGCGTGGGGAGTTGGGACCTCTCCGCTCTTCTAAAAGTAGAAGATCTAACAGGGTAAAAAATAAGAGTAGGAATCAACCCACGCGGCAGCTGCCAAAATGGAGTCGCTGCGTGGGGAGTTGGGAACTCTCTGCCCTTATAAGGGGAAGACAGACTGAGAGGGTGAATTCGTTCTGGGACAGACCACCCTCGTCCTTTAAATCTTGGAGGGGCGAGAGGCAGCGAGGCGGGTGCCCCTTGCTCCCCTATTCAACAGGGAAACGGAGGAAAACCTGGGCGGCAAGACATAATGTCGCCTGGGAACCCGGGACCACCAGCAATCTAATGCAGAGGACTTGGCACGGAGGGAAGCCGACTAGACCCCCCAGGACGAAGAGTCGGCAAAGTAATGCCAACATTAGTCTTCCCGACTCCCCAGTATGCGCCAAAAGAGGCATCCGCCAAAAAAGGCAGGAGTTTTAGTGGGTTGGTCTCCTTCCTGTGTGGAGGGAAGGGAGAAAGTTCCATATAACCCGCAGACCCCCCCCCCCCC